ACCCACACCCATACACCCAATCCACACCCAACTCACACACTGTCTTATGACATTGGATCTCATGAATGGACAAATCAAATAGTTTTTGACTAATAGTTGTTTCGAATTAAAGGATGGTTGGAGTTGCTTTGAACATGTCTTACTGATATTGATTCACATCGAAATCTCTCAAAACTCAGAAAATCTTAAAAGAGCGGTTGAAAACTTCTAGCTGCATCAAAGGAAAAAGACAAAAAAATTGAACGTTTTCTACTGCCCTTGCAGACACTTGAAAAAAATTATAATAAATTCCATTACAACCTACACTATCACCCATAAATGCATTAACACACCATCTGTTCATCATTTGATTAATTAAAGAATTAATATTGATAAAATAACATAAATTTGTTTCCCTAGTTCTATATTTATCATCAAATGAATATTATTTTATATTAAAATACGTCATACATCTTTCAAATTCTTGAGTAAAAAGAAAAGAACCATATTATTGTTCGAGCTTCAATTTTAAATTGATTATTCACCTACCACTGTTCTACTCAATGAAAAGCAATGGTACTCGTTGAATAATTGTTTCATGAAATGAAAAATCATTTAAAGTTGTTTCTTTTTATCTTTACATATACCTTATTTGAGCACATTTCATTTAAAATTTTTAATTTAATATATCGAGAGACCTACCCATTATAGGATAACCTGTTGAAATGAAGTGCTAAGTCAAGTCTACAGTAGATAAATGTCCCATCATTAATCCTAAATAAGCACCATCGACTATTATATGTATTCACATTTTTTATTAACAACTACGTAAAAACTACGTCAATCAAGCAGGAACAAACAATTTTATTCATAGCTTTGTATAAACTGTTATAAAGCCAACAGTTCCAAATGATCTTTAGAAAAAAAATAATGATAAACTATATCTGAGTTTTATAAATAGTTCTTACTGAATTCATTTGTCACTGGAATATAAATAGATAATGTATCACACAAGATATCTATTCAATTTCATTTTCTTAAATTTGATTGTTGCTACGCCTCAAATCAATCTTCATTATACAGTTTGGGTAAGTGAAAGTCAGAATCATACTGTATTGCNCCGTCTCGGACACAATTCCGGAATCAGTTGGAGGAGTTTCGGAATTAGTTCGATGAATTCCGGAATTAGTTAAAGGAATTCCGGAATTAGTTAAAGGAATTCCGGAATTAGTTGGAGGAATTCCGGAATTAGGTTGGAGGAGTTCCGGAATTGGTGGAACTGATTCCGGAGGGCGGAACTGATTCCGGAATGTGCAACATTGCGGAATAGGATGACTGCTCGAATCGATTTGGTATATAGTAAATCCTGTTTTCATAAGACTTGAAAGGAACTAGAGCCAATTTACTGATAGACGACTACATATCCACACTCAAGCATTATAAATTTCTGAATATTGTGGTCCTTGTTATTAGTCGAAAGTATCTGTAAAATATTTTTTCTCACATACGATTTTGTAGAGTTTTTAACGGGCTACAACCTTCTATGTGTAGTGTCTCTGGCCATCTTGTCAGTGTGGGTATGCGTGGGTGTGGGTGTGTAGTCGTCTATCAGTAAATTGACTCTAGTTTCTCTAAAATCTTGTAAAAAAATGATTCAGTATATACCATTCGATGCGTCTTAAAAAGTTCTACAGCATGGTATATTTGTTTTTTTTATTTTTCAATAGGTCCTCTGATCTGAAAAGATCCTTCAAACACCGTGACCAGAACTTTCGGTATGCCCTAAGTAGTTTATTTGGAAAAAATGGTTGAAGCCTGGTCAAGAGGGAAACAGCGAATCTTCAAGCGATTGCGTAACGTTTCCTCCTCATACTAGAAGACCGAGTGCTTTTATTGGAAAAAGGTTTCGTTTTTGACTTTTAAAATCGCATCAGCTTTAGCTTAGGACGTATTAAGTCTCGGTTTCCTGTGGTTTTGAATTTGGTGATGTTTTTCAGCTTTTTATTTATTATAAAAAGTAGTATAGGAAACAGATATTGTTCTATCGAAATATTGAAACAATTGTAAATGGAAAACTTTTCATATATGATCAGAAAGACATCCGAAATATAGATTGAGTTCTCTTGTTAGAAAATCTTTTGTAGACAAATATTCATAAGACAGCTCTGCTATATGAAAAATAAAGCTCACAAAATAAAATTTGAATCTTGTATCACACTCACCAATCTCCATTTCGATTCAATACTAATTAAAATCTAGCTGCCAAACTTCTCTACGCACATAGGATCATGGCTAGAGGATAGTTTTATAATAAACTCACAAAAGAATGTAAGCGACACGCCCTACCATACATGAGATGACTTATAATCAAAGATATAAAATTACATTTTTTTGAGGGTACAAAAAAAAATACAAGAGCATATAGTCATAATCTGTTAATAGTCACATCGATTGAAAAAGAACATAAAGAATCACTAGATATGTATTGTGAGATTTTTGCTGGAAGATCACTTCCGGTGGATGGAAATCAATAAAATTAGTTACTTCACGTGAGTAATGTTTAGACTCTTGTTATAATTGTTCCTAGTGATCTACATCTGGAAAACTAAAGCTAATGACAGTCACTCTTAAAATTTGTATTACATTTCGTTCACCATGACCATTTAAAGCAAGGGAAACATCGTACTAGATTACTCAAAAGTGGCTAGGAGTATCTAGGAGTACGAGTCGCTGCTTTTTTTAAGTCAAAAACACAAAAGACAGAACTGAACAAAGAAGTATTTGTTATCCGAATTGTAATTAGACATGTACTGAATCTCATTGCTTTGTATCACAAATAATGCATTCCGATAATAAAGATCTAGAATCAGTGGATTTTTTACAGTGAACTCTATCAACTGTACCTATTAGACTCGTACCAAACCCGAGTCTACAGCGAGTAGTTCGGGATTGATCTATCCCCTGGTACCTATTCAATCCCCACTCGAACGATATTTTATCCAATATAGGAAAATGTTCTCAGACTCGATGAAATAATATCGAAATTATGTGTTTTTGAAATGTTGAACAAATCCTGTTGAACTCTAAACTTCTGAATTTTATAAAAAGACACACTACTTCCGGATAGAGTGGACCAAATAGATAATATCTGGAAAAAAAAAGAATCTTAGACTTCGTAAGTTTCTAATGTCTAAAACATGTAGTCCTTGATATAAAGTTCTCAGACTTGGTACGGACCTAATTGCAACTTGCTGAAAAACAGTCATGTACTAGACAGGCAAGTCGAAGAAGAGGGACTAAATGACTCTGGCTTCCACTCAACGGAAACTACTTAGGGGAATAGAAAAAGAAAGCTTATGATTTTTGACTGCTTACGAAAGAAGTCTCCGAACGAATGAATCGTCTATAAGTCAAGATCATGTATTTCATGTAGGCTCTAATGGACTATAAATACTCTGAGAAGATTAATGGATCCTTAGCTTATTGCTGTCGAGATACTGTATTTTTATGTCGTGTTTTAATAGAATACTGTGGTCTTCCTCAGAAACACTAGAAAAAATAATTTTCGAAGTTTCGATGCAAAGTTTTGCATAGAAACAGACTGTAGTGATAATCTTCCAAAGTTGTAAATCAAAACTTCGAGAATTATTTTTCCTAGTGTTTCTGAGGCAGACTACAGTATTTCATTTAAAAATCACCTAAATTACAACATCTTGACTGCAACACGCTAAGTGCCCGAAATCTTTTCGGAATATTCATAGCTTATTAGAGCCTACATGATACACATAGTCTCGACCCCAAAACGGTTAATTAGTTGAGACTTCTCTCGTCAGTCACCTCTGCAAAAGCTTCACCTATCCTATCAGAAAACTTTTGTGTATGCACCAGTACCAGATAGTAAGAAGTAGTGGTGATTAGCATTTTTTTAATTAGACTAATTTTTGCCAAAACATTTATCGCGAAATCGCAGTAGAAGATTACTCGTAATAGAACATTTCCTTGAAAACTTTGTACGCTTCATGAAAATGGAAGACCCATCATCTTTAAATACAATTAAAGGAAGTATTGGTACATATTCATAAGATTTCGCGACTAAAACACATTATTGTTGAAAAAGAGGGAAGTAGACAAATTCATAAGTTCCCACGTGATTACCCTCATTGTTCACTCTATAGAGCCTCTATTGCAATTTGAACATGCAAACAAGGGAACTGTTTTGAAAACGGACATGCTGTTCTTATTTACATCTCTCTTGTGGCTGTATATTGATAAAATTTCTTTGAAGGGTTGGATATCAATTGAACAGAGTTGATTGCCTCTTTCGTAGAATGACACTGAAAAGCTTTCTGGGAATTCTACCTTCTTGAACGTACATTGCATAATTTCTGACGGTAATTCTGGATTGAGAAACTTTTTTTTTCTAGGCGTACCTCCATGAGAGTACGAGTTAATAGTGAATTGACAAATATAACGCCTTACCGTCTTCTTTCACCTGTGTTGATATTTGAATGTTTATTAGATAGTAATTTTCACTATTTCACTAAAATCGATTAATTCATTATACAAAAGCGTAAAAAAAAGCTTGAAGTAGTTTGATTGAATGTAGACGAGTGTTATTGTTTAATTCTAGTTATCGATTAATTTGCTTCTTATCTTTTTATCTTCATTGGATATACGGAAAGCGACAACATGGCTACTGGTGATACTCATGTTTTTACGATTCGAAAAATATCTCAACAACACGACGATGATAGACGTGAATTGCAACATCTGAACGAAAGCTTCGGCATGTATATCAAACGAGTCAAAGATCTCGAAGACAAAAATCGTCAATTACGTGTTCAACTTGATGCTCTGAAACAGAATTGGGGTACATTCTTTGACAAAGTTTTTTACACTTAAGAAAACCAATTGATATCTATTCTATTTCTTTCTTAGGTTTTGATTCTGTGAAGATTAGAGAAAAATATAACAACGATTTAATTTCGCTTCGGAAGGAACTGGATACGACTACACGCAACATGCAATTAGCTCAAATACAAGCCATACGAGCCCAACATGATAAATCGGCGACCGAACATCAAATTTCTTTTATAAATACATTTAACGTCGTGGATCAACAACGTGCTTCATTGTGTGAACAAGAACTTGAACGAAGTAAAGTAGAGCTCAGTGCAGTGTACAATCAAGTTGACAACAAGAAGCATGAGATTGAACGAAGTAAAAGCGAATTGCAACAACAATTAGACCATTTGCAAGCTTTGAAAAAGGAGCTTGATGATGAATTGATGATCCGAATCGTGCTCGAGATTGAACTGCAAACATTTCGAGAAGAATTGATTTTTATGAGAGCTATTTATGAAGAAGAGTGCAATGACTTGGCTTTACTTGGCACATTCCAGATTGATGTTGGTCAATTTTATCGAGATGAACTAGCACGGGCAGTTGCTAATATCAAGAAAGATTTTGAAACCATTTCGCATGCGCAATATCAAGAATGGGAAGGTAAGAAGAAGAAGTACTATTCTAATTAGCTAGACTGCAAACAACTAATGATTCATATCTAATCTTTTTTGCTAATCCCGTCAATAAGCGCACACTCTCCCTTACTAATACCGATGTGAGACTTACAAGTAGGGGTGGCACTTTAACTTTAAAAACACTTTAAAACTTTAAACTTTAATTAAAGTAAAAATTTTAACACTTTGATATTAAAAAAGTTAAAGTGAAAGTGCTTGTGCCATGGGTAAGAAACGACCATGCTGAGTTTTTGGGTCCTCGTCTAGCTACCCTAGCGGAGGTACTTGGGTCCTCATATGTCTATAATAGGAGGGGTACTTAAGTCCCTATATGGCTATCCTATGAGAGGTACTTGGGTCCTCATATGGCTATCCTAGTGGGGATACTTGGGTCCTCAAGTGCTATACTATGGAGGTACCCTTAGGTCCTCAGGTGTCATACTATAGGGGTATCCTTAGATCTTCAAGGCCTCTACTATGGGGTAGCCTTAGGTTCTCAAGACCTATACTATAGGGACACCCTTAGGCTCTCAAGTGCTATACTATAAGGATAGCCTTAGGTCTCAAGGCCTTATACTGTGAGATTTTCCTTTGGTCTTCAAGGCCTATAGCATCTCATATAGTATAGGCCCTGAGAGCCTAAGGTTATCCCCGTAGTATAGCTCTTGAGAACCTAAAGGTACCTTCATAGTATGGTGTTTGAGGACCTAAGGGTACCCCATAGTATAGCTCCTGAGGACCTAAGGATTTCCCCATAGTATAGGCCTTGAGGACCTAAGGCTACCACCATAGTAGAGGCCTTAAGGACCTAAGGATACCCATATAGTATAGCACTTGAGTGCCTAAGGGTATCCCTATAGTATAGCTCTTGAAGACCCAAGTATCCCTACTAGGATAGCCATATGAGAACCAAAGTATCTCCCATAGGGTAGCCATATAAGGACTCAAGTACCCCGCCTAGGATAGCCATAGAAGTACCCGAGTGCCCCCGCTAGGGTAGCCATATGAGAACTCTAGTACCCCCACTAGGGTAGCTAGACGAGGACCTAAGAACTGGACATGGCCATTTCTTACCTATGGCACTTTCACTTTCACTTTAACTTTTTTTTTAAGTTAGAGTTTTAACGTGTTTCACTTTAATTAAAGTTTAAAGTTTTAAAGTGTTTTACTTTAAACTTTAATTAAAGTTTAATGTGCTACTTTAACTTTAGCTTTTAAAGTAAAGTTAAAGTGCCACCCCTACTTACAGCCATTCAGTTAATAATGAATAGGTTGAGAATGCTAGCAGCTAGTGATCTGTGTTTTTTAGCAAAGGCAGGAGAGATATAAGGAGGTCTATTTCTTTGATAATATATATAAATATATATATCAAAATCATCTTGAAACCAATGGCTTTGACAAAACATACAAGAAAGTGTTTGAAAATAGTTTGTCATTCTGATGAAGTTTTGATTCTAGCATGCCTCTTACATAGAGGAACTTAAGATTTATAATTCAAGAAACAATTTGAATGGTTATCTTCTCGTCCTTCAATATTGAGAAAGTAAAATTGTGTACCTGTTCGATCGAATAATATGGAGTTTAGTGTATGTTTAACTAAATTTTCTTATTTGTTACTAAAATCTCATACATACATTATGAATGTTTTGCGAAAATTGTTAGTTTCAAAATTATGCTGTCTTGTATTTAAAAAAGAAGACGTCTCTCTGTCTTCTCTATCAATAGCTGAGAATCGTAGATCGATAGATGCTAGCACTCTCGATTTGTTCAATTTTTAACAGAAGTATCATAGGTTCACGCGCTGACACTAGTTCCAGTTCTATCTATGTATAATAAGGCTGCATAATTCAGTTAGACAAAGGATTAAGCAACAAATATGAGCTCATATTCAATTATCACATCTAATTATTATGAGTTCAAACTTTCTGTCTATGTGATTCACCTTGCACACGTTTCCAATCAATTCTTTGCATAACTGTACGTTTTGATTGGTTCTTGTGAATACCCCGTGAAAAATTTTCGCGATTTTCAATCGGATTTTTGTGCAACAAAATCAAAATTAAAATCGATTGATAATTTTGATTATTGTTGATCATGACTTAACTATTATTTGATATTGTTGCACAAAAATCCGATTGAAAATCGCGAAAATTTTTCACTGGGTAGTGTTAATGACTTCTCATGCTTTAGTACCCAGCTTTGATTTAGATTTATGAAAACATACATCAGACTCATAAACGATTTTTCCACTTATAATTCTACGACTTTTATTACAATATACTCGTATAACTAAACTACAGCTGTCAACTATACATCGAGAAAAAACATGTCGATATCTAAAGATGTTGAAAACTATGTCTACAGAATCTTGTAAATAGAAAGAGATTTGTTCAAAAACAAATCGAAATTTGTGAAAAGATGCTACGAAAATGACCAGTGCTCAAAATAGCACAGATTATCTTGATTGTGGATAGTCAAATGTTTTCGATAAAAAGAAGAGCCAACGTTCAATGCTAAACTTCGCTTTTAATAACTCTGCATGCCAAAACATTCAACTCTCGTCATCTAATAACAAAAACGAATCGAGATTACTACTTAACACATCTAAACACGTTCTGTTTCGAGAATATTTTTTCTTTTTAGAAAATTGAACCCATTCTATTTTTGTTTTTCAGTGTACTACAAGACTAAAACTGAAGAAGTTCAGAAAGAAGTTATTGAGCAAACACTCAAAAAGACGGAAGCAAGCCGTTCAAGTGATGTAGGAATAATGGATATGAAAACGATCAAGTTGGCATTAGACGAAAGTCGAAACTCTTATACAGCATTGCAAACAGAAAACTCGAGTTTAGCTAATCGTATGCGAGAACTGGAAGAGGAATTTGAAAGAATACGATTCCGTGGATTTCAGTCAAAAACTACATTGGAACAAGAATTTGCCATGCTACTAGCTGAGTTTAATGGACTCAAAGCAGCAATTTCAAATATACATGAAAATAATATTTCGCTTCAATTCGAAATAAATACGTATCGACGATTGTTAGAAGGTAATAAGCTACTAACTTTTCCAATTTTGATGATGGGATATATTGAGTACTCTCTGCTAACAAGGGAATCTATCGTGGTGTTCCATTGCTTTTGGACTCATATTGAATGTTTATATAAAAGTCCATGAGGATCATCCAGCCCGGAAAAAAATGATTCCGCATGTGTCTTCGAAACGAATTCATGATCGATTTGCTACAATTTTAGCCTATCATCACGGGCTTTCGAAAAACGTCTTGTTTTTCGAAAGATTAATATCGTTAAGAGAAAACGTTCATTTGAGCTGAACGTTTTATGGAATTCTTAGCGTTATGAGACCTACTTTTCGACCGAATTTCAGTCTATAGTTAACTTATATAGGTTTTTCGAAAAAACTGTATCGTTAACCAGAAGGACATTAAATCAACAATGAATTCATTTAGAAGGAAAATGTGCACAAACATTTTTTCTGGTTGCACTATTCGTATGATTTCCTATACATATCCTAATCATGATTTCGAAAGTGATGGAGCAATTCGCGAGGTTCATTCGTAACACCGACGCAGGATTCTCAATTGTAGTATCTGGCGAGTATCGACTGAAAATGTCAATATTGTCCACCTAATTCTTCAGGAATTAAGAAAGAAAACGAAATTGTTAGCTTTTCTTAGCATAAAGAGCTCTAAATAATGAAAAGAAAGCCGATCGCCACCGTAGGTTTGTTAAGGGTTTGCGGAATTTACCGGTCTTAACAATAATGTTTGAAAAAGCATTTCTAGAACAGGGTTAAACTATTTTCGCATAATATTAAATTGACTTCTGAATTCCAAGTAGTACATTTCGCTATTCGAATAATGTGCCACATACTCTTGATAAAGTAAATACAGCATCTCTACTTTATAACGTTTCCATTGGATGTTAGTCATGCCTTAAGTAGAAAAATATCTACTGTAGTAATATTGAAATCTTTCGACATGAAGGCAAAAGATCTTTTATTTACTATTTTACTCATGGAAGAACTGGACATGAGAACTCTTTCCAGACAAAATTTCTAATATTGTATACCGAATCTGTATTCCAAGAAAAAAGCTTTTATTATTTTGAAGAAACTTCCGAAACCTTAAAATGTTCTCCAACTGGATACAAATTTCATAGAAAATCTTCTCTTTAAGAAAGAGTTTATCTGAGAGTCTCCTAAAGAAACATAAATGTTCAAAATAGAATTAACACAAGGCCAGTCTGCAATCTGTAGACTTTAACAATCAAATACATTTCAATCCTTTTTGTCATCTTATTTGCGCTTGAATTATTGAAGGTGTATCTCCCGCAACAGTCACGAAAACACGTGAAATTACTCTAATATGGTCGAACTCGTCAACTGCTGATTTTTCCGCGATTGATTCCAAAGCATCGTTTGTCTTGCAATGGGCAGAAAGTGTAAAGGTTACCGCAGCCATGATTTCGCTTCCAACTACATTTATTGGTCCTAAAGGATGTACTGGTGTATCGTTTTCAGCTGTTTTTTACACGTCACACGAGAGAATCATCATCGACGCAAATATTGGTGATCAATTCAATTTTTACAATTATGGACAATATCAACTGACAATCTTGTATCCGAACTCAAAAACTGTCATTGGTACATGGGCGATTCATATTGAACCAAAAGGCGAAATATGCATGCCAAAGCAGTATATCATCCGTGATTCCATTAACAACTTCATTGCTGACACCACAGTTCAACTCCTATTGAACGGTCAAGTTGTTTTCGCTGGCGTCAGTGATGATGTCGGTGTTGTGAATCTGCCTCGAAATCTGTCGGATAACTGTTATGACGTCGTGATAAATACACATAAAGCTCAGTATAAAACAGCAAAATTTCAACGAATTGTATTTCAAGACAGAGGGGTAGAATCTGTTACTTATTTTATCTATCGACAAATGCAAAGTGATGAGGTTGAATTTCTGTTGACATGGGGAAAACGACCAAGTGATCTCGATTCTCATGTGTATGTTTCGGATGGACGGCACGTATTTTTCTCACGAAAACAGGAACCAAATGTGTCTCTCGATTACGACTGTAGAGAAGGCGGTGGGCCAGAAACTATCAAAGTGAAACTTGAACCAAACATGAAATATGTTTATGCTGTTCATAGATACAGCAAAGATGGGGAACTACCGAAATCAGATGCTACTGTCACTATCAGTACCAATGAAAATGCAGACTCGGATTATCCCTTTACAGTTGTTCGAGTTCCATATGCTAATCAACCAGATGCGAACTTTTGGGTGGTTTGCCAAATTGATGGAACAACAAAGAAGTTCAAATTTTTCGAAAATGCGTTCGAAAATCGCGACGATTGTAACACTGACGAATTTATACGAAAGTTTTTCAATGCATAAACAAACAATAGACACTCGTATAGTTTTAGTGTAGTTTAGTTTTTTGCATAAGATCTATTAAAAATAAAAGACTTTCTCTATTTCTAACACTCATTCCAGTAGATAACATTTCGGGTGTGTTAAATGATGATTGCAAGAGGTGAAATCGTAAGGAAATCGCTACAGCAGAAAATAGTCTGGCTGTAGAGTATTCGATATAGCTTCATGCGTTGGCATGTTAACTGTTGTCTCCAAGGATACTATCAATTGATATTTTAAAAGTGTATTGTTTGTAGACCGGACGGGTTTTTTTGCTATACTTCTAAGTACCGGTCGTGAAACTCGCTTGTTATGATAAGGTCAAAAGCGTAACTAACATTTTTATACATTTTTATATATCCACGACACTCAATCGTTTTCGTCACATAACTCTCAACAACTTCCAGTGTATTCAACTTTGATTTCGAATCGAACTGAACATAAATTTACAAGATTTGTTCATTCAAATACTACTGGGCACGATTTATATATGACGATAGTGAGAGCTATATGAATCATTCTGAAATAGTTTCTGCAAAATTTTCTCTCCAATAATGTTCTAAATTTATCATATGTATCGAGATATTTGCCCGCTAGGCATGGCATACAATGAAAAAATGGCAAAAACACAAAACATGTCTTCTAAATCACATCAGTAAAAGGACGGGTTATGGTTCATCTAAACTTTTGTCTAATCTACTTGAATATACTAATGTTCATGATGACATCCGAATGCTAGAGAAGCTACAAAAGTTGTTACATATTATTATAATTACAAAATGGTAGATATCTAAATAACTAAAATATCATTTTCATTGACTTCATTTTTTAACTGAACGTTAAAAGGGACAGAAATAAATTTTTCGATGAAAAAAAGTTCAACGAGTCTTTTAAACTACGCATAAATAGACTCATTTGTTAGGCTGATTGCAAATGTCATGTCAGGTTCTAGTCGGATTAGATTTCTCTGACGGAAATTTTCTAAATATTGACTAAAGAAGCAAAAGATTACGTCTTGAGAACAGTTTGCTTGAGTATTTCTTACGTGGCTAGCTTTGGCTTTTTTTTTACAGCTTAGTAAAATGAACAGTTTTGTAACTCTTGAAAAGCACTATCAAGTGAGCCATACTAAAAAGATAATTGATTCGATTTTGAAAGCAAACGATGCTTCAAAAGATACCTAAACTAAAGACATTTGAAATCGAAAATAATTGGCGGCAGATTTTGAAGTTTTTTTGAAAAATTTTTTAAATTATAGTTTTATAATATAATGAATATCATTGTTTGTGAGTTGGCTAATATATATTATAGAGCGTAAGATCTGCTGTAGATATCCTGAATATGTAAAACAGACTTATTGGTCAATTAATTCAATGATTATAATAATAAGAATGTTAAATTATCAAAAAGGAATTTAAAAAAATGATAAATAATGAGCGAATAGCAAGAGTATAAACAAAAAATAAGGCATCCGTAGAAAATATGAAAAATTTCTGTTCAAAATACAGAAATTAGAGAGGTTATTCCTTTGATATTTGATTATTGTGAAAAATAAGTATAGTCTAGGAGAGATTTTTCACTTGACATATTTTGTATTAGTTTAAGGAGGATAGAGAACATATGTGAGTTTCACATTTCAGCCGCAAAAGGGCTGTGCTAACAAGCTTTTCTTTTCAATTAATGTGCATTCATAATAACGAAAAAATAGTCAGTCATCCAAGATGCTTTTTGCCTGTTGTGCAACTCACAACGGTTCAATTTTTTGTTTCGTTCTGTTAGATGGCATAGCCTCCCAGGTCGAACATTACTGTGCCCGTAAACGGCCGTACACAGTCGTTTACGATGACGTGAACGGCCGTATCCGTCGAAATTACGACCGTATACGGGCCGTAAATAACCCGTTTGGTATGCGNTGAAACCATGCTGAGTTTTTGAGATATTACGTAACTTTTTATTCCCTAAAGATGGTAAACAATATTGAAAAACAAGTTTACTTTCAAGACAAACCTGAGTTCACATCTCTTTCTTAGAGTGATGTTCTATGTTTTTTCAATAGAAAATAAATATTTTCATCACCTTTCATTGCCATGATGTAATCGTAAAACAAAATAAACATGACACTTGTAATCAGTGTCAAAAACTACATCAAGCGAAACACATTTTAGAAAATTTTCTTCCTATGGCGAAATTACTTGTGATTCTCCAATAGCGAGCTGTCCGCAGGAAAACGATTTTTCTAAAATGTGCTTGACTCGAAGTAGTTTTTGACATTGATTACAAGTATCACATTTATTTTGTTTTACGATTGCATCATGGCAATGAAAGGTGATGAAAATATTTATTTTCTATTGAAAAAACATAGAACATCACTCTGTAAGAAAGAGATGTGAACTCAGGTTTGTCTTGAAAGTAAACTTGTTTTTCAATATTGTTTACCATCTTTAGGGAATAAAAAGTTACGTAATATCTCAAAAACTCAGCATGGTTTCATTTACTTTACGAAAGTGGCAGCATATGTACCATTCAACATTGACTTTTATATACACATAAGTTATCATTTTGCTCACTCAAAGCAGACTATATAATCTCAGTTAGTAGATGAATCGACAATATTTGAAATAGTTCATTTTGTTCAGCTTTCCATGCTGTATCTTTTGATATATTGCATGAAAAGATTCTCTAACTTATTAAAGTATAGTCCCTGGTAGACATTTATTGAACGATTGAAAGACACTACTAAAAAGTTGATCGAGGCTAACTCTACTATAGAACCTGGAAAGGATCTGCAATTTGAGTTTTGTGATTTCAGATAATGATCTTTTGAATGCACATCAAAATTTTAAAAAAAAATAAAAATTTTGATCATTGTCCCATATACTGATACGATTCTTGGTTCTCTCATGGGCTGTCTCTTAGGATATTGGCCTATTTTAGACCAGAATTGATAGTACTTTCTGAAACGGATGACTCACAACAAGCACTGGTGATAAGTCAAACTACTCCATATCGTCATGGACGAGACTTCAGATTCGTTAAGTTGCTTTCATTCGGTAAATTTTAATTATATGTCGAATGAATAATCATCATTTTGCTATGTAGATTGTCTTAGCTGATGTTTGTCTGCTGGTAAATGATGGTCTCCGTTAGAATACCAATTTTATGCTGAGTATTATCGAATAAAATTTTCGAAATCATCTGTTATTTCATTTTTTCTTGCTTCTGCTGTTCTGTTGACCAGATCGAACAGAATGAAGAAACAAAACGGATTAGACGAAATTGCAGCACATTCTTCGAAAAGATGATTTGTGCTGACTGTTATACAAGATCTTTCAGACTATATCCAACAAGAAATGTAGAGATTTTAAAATGATCATGTTGGGCGTCCTCACTTATTCTTTTGCTTACTTGAGGCATGCCACGACCCTAGTCCGGATGTATTTGTTTTATCATCAAAAGAAATAATTGGGTGAAGTTATAAGGTGTGCTACTTACTAAAATTTCATCGGAACTTGACCATACAAGTCTGTGGAGGAATTTCATTGAAAGGTGCTCATCAGGGATCGATGAAACTCATCGGCTTTGATCAGATAACAACTACTTGGGAGAGAATATATTTTTTTCCGTCTTCTATATTCTTACCGTTTTTCTTTTTTAAATGCCTTCCAGTATGCTTCAATTATATGAAACCTAATCGTTTTGATAGTTATAAAATAGGATTACGTCGCCTGCTATTAACTGTTTTTGCATTCTTATACATCATTAATAAAGACTCAACCGTGACTTATTATGTATTGTTGACGATTTCCTTTTCCTCATATTGATACTTGTGATTTTGGTCTGTTCTTCTCTTTCTAGACAAACATCTGTTGACAAAAGTACCTAAGCTCTTGAAGATAGTAACTGTAATTGATATGACCGAGACTAATCATAGCGCAAAAAATGCCATACTACTAGGTCTAGAACCAATGGCGATTGAAAATCAAGTTAACATTACTAATGGCAATAATCAACCCAACAATGAAATAGTGAACGAGCTAGATGATAAGAAAGTTCTTCGCAAATTGGATCTTCATCTTATTCCAACAATGACCTTACTTTATTTACTTAGTTTTCTCGATCGAGTCAATATCGGTCAGGCCAAATTGAATGGTCTCACAATATCACTAAAGCTCTCTAGTATCGAATATAGCACATGCCTGAGTGTATTTTTTATTACGTACGTCATCTTTGAAATTCCATCAAACTTGATTCTAAAAAAGTGTCGACCAAGTCGATGGATTCCGTCTATTATGATTGCATGGGGGACTGTCATGACTTGTATGGGACTTGTCAATTCTTATCACAGTCTTCTAGTTTGTCGACTTCTATTGGGTGCAACCGAGTCAGGTCTCTTTCCAGGTATACGTTGATCAATTTTAAAAGTCAAGATTTCATTGTTTTTTTTTAGGTGCTACCTTTTATCTGTCGAGCTGGTACAAAAGGCGCGAACTTTCGTGGCGTGTCAGTATTCTTTTCTCTGCAGCTGCACTAGCTGGCGCTTTTGGTGGACTTCTCGCTTATGGAATCGATAAAATGGACGGAATAGGTAAACAAGAAGGTTGGCGTTGGATTTTTTATGTGGAAGGAATGGTTACTGTTGTTGTTGGTATACTTGCTTTCTTTCTCATTAATGATTTTCCTACAGATCGACCCAAATTTCTCACCGAACAAGAATGCAATCATGTACTTGCTCGTTTACGTACTGATGCTGGACCGGGCGCCAGTGAACATTTTAGTTGGGTTCAAGTTCGTTCGGCACTTTCAGACTGGAAAATCTACATTTGGTCGTTATGTTTCTTTGGTATGTCGGTATCAATCTTTTCTCTTTCTCTTTTCTCACCAACCATTGTACTAAGTCTTGGATTTGTCGCTTATCAAGCTCAACTTCTTACAACACCACCATACGCCTTTGCATTCATTACCACAATGACTACAGCTTATTTTTCTGACAAATATGCCCATCGTTCCATATTTATTCTATCATGGTTAGCAATTACTATGACCGGTTTTGTTATCTTAATTATGGCACAAAATTTGAGCGTGAAATATTTTGCTGTTTTCCTCGCCACTGGTGGCATTTCGCCTTGTATTGCTACGTGTATCACGTTTCTTTCGTGTAATATTAGTCCGCATACAAAACGAGCTACTGCACTGGCATTTATGCTATCTGCGGGAAGTATCGGTGGAATTATTAGCGGTCAATTATATAGATCGCAAGATGCGCCTCATTATATTTTTGGTCATGCAATGAACCTTGGTTTTTGTACAATGAGTTTGATTGCTCTGACGATCATTTTAATCGGCCTTCATAAAGAAAATCGACGACGTGATTGTTTATACGGACCGATCGGTAGTACGACAGTGCAATCAGTCATCAGTAAAGATCAAGTGACAACCGATGTATTTGGGATAGGTACTATGGAAGACAGACAACGATGGGGCTATGAGAAATTGACCGAAGAGCAGATTAGTAACTTGGGTGATAGACATGCAGCTTGGCGATATATACTGTAACTATTTCCGACTTGTCCTGCTAACTGTACTGCTGGAAGAGTGAATGCATTACTGTTATTTCTTAAACTATGCTGTACAAAATAGATTTTTCCTTTTTGTTTACGTAGCTCGCTCCTTTGCATATCAGAATAAAAGCATGAAAAGTCTTTTAAACTTTTAATGAGTTGAAGTATACCTCAGAATTCTGTTTAAATAGACAACGGAATGAGTTATATGCAAAAAATTAGAAAGTTTATTTTATAAAGTACAGTTTAAGAAACGACATAAGATATTGCTCACACTTTCCTAGTACACCGTTCAAAACTTATGAGAAGAATGAAATATATTGAAATAGAAACACATTCACTCTTTTGGTAGCATAGTTAGCCGGACAAGCTTTTCCCTTTCCTTATATAAGACACAAGTATATGTGGATGTAGTTTTAGATTTATTTGTATGAGATATGAAAGAGTCACACTCTCACATCAACTCACACCCATATACATATCCACATCTACATACACCCACACTCGTATCTATATCCATACTCCCATCCACATTCAAATATCCACACCCTCAATATTGTTAATCAGTTGAAATAGTTCCATGGAAATTGAGTATCGATTCGTATCGTCAACAAATATACTGGAATCAATTGTAGAAATGACAGTAATGAAACAGTGCCTTTGTTTTCATCTGCAATCAGTTTTTCGACTCTTCATCAACTCGAATTGACCTTCTGGAATTACGGAATGCATGATCTTCTACGGCAACATCAAAGTTCTCGAGCACAATTGACAATTGATCATTGTATTTTCAAACAAATCTGCCTATTTCTAGGCCATATATCGTATTAAAACACCGTGTGCATCGAAATCCGTCTTTGAATTACATATCGAATAAAGTTCGTGCCATTCATTCGTAACTTTATAATAAAAACAATTAATTTCTTTCACAACATAAAATGTGAATGACATTCAAAAAAAACAGATTGAAGTTATTTTAATCACGAATACTGTTTCTCATCCATTGTAAATCGATCGTCTCTACAAAATTCATCCTATGATGCATTTGATGGTTCAGAATGGGAACATATAATTCGAACAGAATCGCTTTGATTGACTCAATTCGACTTTTTATTTGACAACATGGGAAAATATCAAACAGAGCATTCTAATATGTCGAATCTTGGATAACTCACTGTCGGAAACAAATTTCGCTAAAACAGAAAAATTTTCATATATTTTATGGTATTATATCAAGAATCGATTGTATAATCGACTGTATCCGATACCGTTTTATTATTTTTTCTTGAATTAAATATCTTCATGAAGCAAATCTTTTATTATGACGAATAATTTCCACCATGCATTAGCTCACCTACGCCAGAAAACTATCAATCTCACAAGGATTTTCGTGGATAAAACTTACCACATGATGTTTCCGAAAAACGAATTTATTTCATTCTATAATAGTTCGTGTGAGAACAAGTGAAAGAAGGATCCACATTCCAAGCTCCAAGATATTCTATTGTTTCATGGCAAATGTTTTCTTTGTTGAGTTTTTTTGTTACTTAATCATTTCAAGCAAAGACGAAAAAGTTATAAAGAAAAAATATAGTTTTTTTTCATATATATTTTCAACTACAAGGGATTTCATGGGTTCACCATCTGAATAAAATTCTTTTTGTTTAGCTGATTAAATTTGATACAATTCGTACGAATTTACTTTTAGGTGAATCGATTACCACTGATACTATCGAGTAATAAAACGTTCTATTTTGATAACAAAAAGTTTAGACTACGAACATTTTTGACTTTGGTCATCCATAATAACAACTATTACGCACTACACTGTAAGATAGAAAATAAGTTATAGAGAACAGAAAAGAATATTCTAGGAATGTCCATATGAATTCGACATGGATTTCTATTCTCTTGAAAATATGAAATTTAAGAAAATTCGAAATTCAAGTTTCGATTTTCTAATTAGAAAGTCACGATCGTATTTATAGGAATATGTCTAAAATTTTGAATTTGATCTCGGATTCTAGACATTTTTCAGAAACTAGACTATCTATTAACACTTCTCATCTTTTTAATAAATTGTTCTATCATATCTATTCCGATTTTACTTATAGTGTTCATTATGCTTATAGGAGAAAAGCGTGTAAAACAATGCAGAAAAAATTACAGAGTATCTTGAGAGAGTATACTTTATAAGCAAAAGTAATTTCATAGCTACTACAGAATCGCTGTAATGTATTTTAATTAAATATGCAGAAGTTCTAGCAGAAGTATAATTATATAAAATGGACATTTCTGTTATAAGAGCACTCTTTCAAAGAAAATAATCAATTTTGAACACAAGGACAGCAGACAGTTCAAAAACAAAAACAAAAATGATAAATATCGGGAATATTTTCAAAAAGAAACAGGGCTGGGCAAGTACGAATTTTCTCGAGCACAAGCAGAATGTTAGTGCAAGTGTCGGTGGAGTCTACTCTTCGTCGGCATCCACACTCATATTCTAATTGGAGTGTAATATTACAATAACAAATTTATTTTACTCAGTAAGAATGAATCATGTATACGAAAGAACGGAAGAACTACGTAATATACAAATACGAATTGAATACTGATTGCATACTATAATACCAGTGAAAGAGAATAACAAAAAAAAAAAACAGAATACGTCTGTTGTAATACTACTGTGTGATGTCTATATATTTATCTAAATATATTGTGGATGGAACAAAGAGAAAAAAATCAGCTCTTTATTTCATCCTCAGAAAATATTAACCACATTTTTTATTAAACACCATTTTAATCTATTGCATACTTACCTAGGATTTGGAATATTCAATTCTCGATTACGAGTAGGCATGCATCAAACTCAAACTCAAACTTAAACCGATTAGGAGCTTCGATACTAAAAGTAATCGAATAATACATGTTTGAGCTTAGAGCCACTTCTGCTGATGTTACTCTCTTTCAGAGATGCATCAATTTCAATTTCAGTCTATCCTAATTCTTCGACTAGAATAGACTTGGCTAGAATTGAAATTGAAATTAATACACTTTTGAAAGAAAATAACATAAGTAGAAGTAGATTTAAGCTCAAGTTTGAATCGTTACGGTTTGAATTCGATGCATGTCTAAGTATGAGTATAAATACCAACCTTTTAAGTACTTTCCATAACTCTAGAAAAAAAAAAATTATATATACTATCTCTCGTTACCAAAAAAGAAAGAATTCGTTGTTTGTTTTTGTTATGAAACGACTCACTATTTTTCCAGAGTCGAGATTGATTTTCTATGAAATTTTTTTTTCTAACAGTTTTAAAATCGTTCGACAATTAAGAATAGTTTCGTAACAATTGAACTTTTGCTAACTTGGTTTTTTAAAGAATAAGAATTTATTTAAGATCTAGAGTACACTCAGCTTCTCGAAAAAAAAATTCTGCTTTAAAATTCTGTAGCAGTCGATTTATTTTGAATAACTCATCTATAATTGAAGAGAAGTCAATGAAATTCTTATTGGTAGCAGATCTAAATAGTCTATATTCATGATAAAAATTTCAGAGACTTCGTTAATATCGTTGACAAGATGAAACATTAAAAAAAAATTATAATAAAGGAACGATATAGTTGTTGCTAAAATGAAGGCTAATTCCGCATGATTTTCAATTACATTTCAGTATTTGTTAAAAATTTATACAATTAATTGAATATGATAAGTTAACTACGTAATTCATAAATTTTTATTTAGTAGTCTAGGAATATTCTTCAAAAAGAGTTCATGACAATTAAATCAAAGTCAATCGTAGTATTAAAAAAATTTTTTTTTTTCTAGTAGAATAGTTATAACAAACATTGATGAGATGCCTGATAATGTAAAGCATGGTAAACTCATATGAAAACAAAGTAGTAATTACGAATAGAACTTTGATATTTTCATTTAATTAAAAACCAAATCTAAATTGCATCCGTCATTATTAAACTATGCAGAAAAAGATTATTTTCTCAATATCTTCTAACTAAGAAATAATGTTGAAAGATTTTCAGTAAAAACAGCTTTATAGGCAGTCATTATTCAAGATAATAAAAAAAAAATATTTCTTTTTCTTAATCTGATTGATTTGCTACTCAAGTCTGGCAAGTTACCAGTGTTATCGGCCTGCCATTAGGTTCTAACATTAAGTTTTCGAAAAATTAGTTGTGCCTGTAATCAGCGGACATACTGTTGGATATATTTGCTTTAATGAATACTGTCAACATTTGTAATTAGAATAATTTATGAGCGAGTCTTTCACATATATTTTGAATCAATCGATATTGCTCTTATAACCATCACATGCATATCTTTTTCTTTCTGTTCTTTTACCTTTTTCAACCTTTTTATCGATCATGATTTTTTTTTTTTTATGTGCATCAATAAATAAGTAGACTTATTGATTCGCACAGTCACATGAATAGAGGCTAGAAATATAGACAACTGCAGCCAGTTATTATATTCAATAGAAACATTATATACTTTTTATTTTCCTATAAATGCTAGCAACCTATATGAAAATCGTTTCTCTCCTGTAAGTTATTGTTTTTCAATCATGAATGCTGATTTCTTATTTATCAATTTCATATATTTACCAGAAGTAATTTATGTGGTTCCAAAAGTTCAACCTAGATTACTACGCAAAAAAATTTCAACACTCATATCGATTATAAAACACTCAATATCATTTACGAAACGAACTGTTGCTCACCAATCAAGAAATTTTAATCATAATGAAAATAAGTTACAGTAATATTTCATAAGGTATTCATTTCATATAACTAATATATGATGTAGATTTTATATGTGTATTAACAATCAGCTAACAAAGAATTCATAAAAAATACGTTTATATGGAAGATAAAAATAACAGTTGAATTGTTTTTTCTTTAAAATTTTTATTTGTTTATTAGACAAATGATAGAGTGTTGTTGTTTTTTTTCATTGTCATGACTACTATTGTATAC